TATGATGACCTTTCACCCGCTAAAGACAACCTCCCTTTATTTAGAAAGCATAACTTAATACATTAACACCTATGTCTATGTTCCAATTGATTCCTAAATCAGAAGAAAGGGGTGTTAGAAATAGCCTCACTCACCCAATTATTAGAAAAAGAATATGGCAACTAAATCTTCAAGATAAGACAGAAGTCATTCTGCTGAATTGTTCCACATCTCCCTTCTGCATGCCCTGTAGCCTGGGCCAGCATCACAGGCCCTGGAGGCAGGAGAAGAAAGTACTAATAACTGGAATGACATTCAAACCTTTTGTTTTTCCCTGGGTAACAATTTTCTCATCGGTAAAATTGGGGGTTTGGATTAACTGATCTCTAAATTCTTGTTCACCTTTAATAGCCACTGATTCTAGGGCACGGAAGGTGTTTTACTGCCAATATCACCCACGACTGTGAAACTAATCTCAGTGGCCAATATCATGGGGAGAAGGCAGAAAGGAATGGTGACATCTGAGTTCCTACTCCTTTACTCCACAGCAGACCCTGGATCTGTGCCTTTTTTTGCTATTACAACCTCCTGTTAGCTGTGTGAGCCAAGAAAGAGAAGAAAAGAAAAACAAGCCAAGGAGACACCCAGAGCGACTGATGAAGTCATGGTTTGCAGCAACTCTGGGAATTAGCACAGTTGCTGGGACCATGAACTATGGACCTAGATCAATTGGATCTGATTCCTTCTCTTGCTCCTTTTTGAGCTATCTGACTTTCTACAACCACTTACCTCTCTGCACCTCAGTTGCTGATCTAGTGGATGACAAGTAAGAATAGTATCCAGTTTGTGGGGTGGCTATGAGGATTGGAGGTGCTGAGCACTATATCTGGCAAACAATAAAGAGTCTTTATAAGTTACTGCTGTCATTTTTGAATTCTTTGATCCAAAGAATGATTCTCTACTAAATCTGACAGTTCCATAATGAGAAAGACATATTCACAAGATAGGAGAAAATAAGGCTTTCTGGGATACTGCTTTCCACTTTCCAAAGACAAATAAGAGTCTCGAAGGCTGTTGTTTATACCGAATCATTTGAAAATAAGATTGAACAACTGGTCTCAAGGAAGCAATTGTTGTTGACACAGTTACATGTGTTGAGAATCCGAAATATCTTAGTTTCTTCCCAAAAGATGTCCTAAACTATCAGCACTGATGCATATCTACTGAATACCTACAGCCAGTACTCAAGATGATGGCCTAAACTCAAAAATAACAATCTTATCTGGCACAAGCTATAGAAAAAATAAGGTTCAGTATAGTTGAGTGTTGGTGTTCTTTAATGCAATATTATTAAGAATTTGAAATTTTCTGCACAGAATGTGTGCTCCTGAGGGACAACTATTGTTTTTATCAGCTTGATGTTTCATTCCTGTCCTTTGGGAGAAAAAAGAATTTATTCTTCATAGGGGCCAGGGATTTAGCTCAGTGTTTTGGTGGCCTGCCTTGGAAGCGCAAGGAGCTGAGTTCAATCCCTGGTACCAAAAACAAACAAACAAAAAAAGAATTTATTCTTCCAACTTCAACCAAAAGACTCTAATGGAGGCTACCAGCCAGACTATTTTACATGTGTGCTCACCCATTACAACTTGTGGAAATGTGGACCAGGAGCATGTCAGCAGTGGCCTATGTTCTCTGAGCCACAGAGTCTGTCCAAGGTGTGAGTATTTGAGTGAATCAGGGAATTTTTCATACTTCCTTGCAATTTTTCAAACTTATATTTATGAAGAATAGGTAGAAAGAAGAAAGAAGATGTATTTGATACTGTTGGCATACACAGCTCCATCATTATGGAGAAAATCAGTAGAGAGAGAGAGAGAGAGAGAGAGAGAGAGAGAGAGAGAGGGAGATCATCATTGAAAGAAAAAACAGAGAGGAGTGATAAAGAGAGAAAACCCAGCAGAAAGATCTCATGCTTGTGTCCCAGGGTTCCGACCCTCTCTAACAGGTGTCTCTGTGAGTCACCACATTTCCTCCTTAGTATGAGACAGTACGAGACATAACACTATAAATTGGGTTCCTGACACTTGTAGAATGAAGAGTTTTCCCAGCCATCAACCCCTCACCCTTTCATCCACCAGAGACACGGCCACTGGCGAGATACTGAAGTAGCAGCCTAAGAGAAAACAAGTACACAGGTATGACTCCAGGCAACGAGCTGGGGAACATAAGTCAGGCTGTCAATTAAGTGAGTGAACCACTGTGGTCTTTGAGACAAGGCAGGATGCACTGATACACCGGATGTGAGATCAGTGCGAGCACAGATGGCAGCAGATCGTACTGAGAACCGACCCTAAACTCCACTACACTTTCGTTGCAATCCATTTCCCTAATAAAATCTCCCACCAAAGGGAAGTACACAAAGTATTTTTAAAAGCACATTTTGGGCCATGTACAAATTGATAACTGTGCAGTAAGTAAACTCTGGCGAATCCCAACCCCTTTTGGAAAAAAAAATAATGAATAATTATTAATGGCATTCGTTTGGGACTGCATATAAGTGAAATGTGTCCTGCGTTAGGTGCTTCTCCATCTGTGGAGGAGCTGGGCTTTCTGTCTGTGAAGTCTCAACATCTCTGTCTCTTTGCTGGGGTGTCCCACAGTCAGCTTTGTTTATTTTCTGATGAACTTGTCTGTTAATTTGTGCAGTTGCCTCAGTTTTAAATTTCATTCTCACTAAAGGAAGGACCCACAGCAGCTGTGATGCATCCATCCACCGACCCACTCATCTACCATCCACTTTTTCACTACATTAATATCTATAACAAGTCAGCTACATGCCAGGCTCTCTTTTGGTGACTTGAAGTCTCTCACTCTAGGGGAAGAGACAGATAAGAAATATATTATATTAGGTGATCGTCAGTATCAGCATTAGCAAGGGCTTGGCAGCAGGATCAGGGGATAGAGACTGACAAGCATAAATGGAGGGTCAGGGAAGGTCACTTTCGGGAGGTAGCATCAGGCAGAATCCCAGAAATTAGTCATGTATGCAGACATGCGAGAAGGGAGAACAAGTAGAGGACTGTGCGTCTGTTGGATCCACTGTGCTCATCCTGCACTCAAGGACAGCAAGGAGGATACCAGCCACCTGTGATGCAGAGGGGACATGCCTGATACAGTAGAAGGAGAGTACAAGCCACCCCCGGGCACCACCTGTTTGGCAGAGGTGTAACTTACAGGAATCCTTGAGCTCAATTTCCTTGTAAATGAAATAGAGGTAGGATACTTCTATTTGGTCATTCTTTACGCACAGATATATATGGGGTACATCCTACATTATAGGCATAGTATTATCCTCAAGGAGCTTATATCCTGGAAGGGAAGAAGCCCTTCTGGGATTTAAAGAGTATATATTTATGGGCAAGTGGGGGGCTCTATTAGCAAATCTCTGAACCCTCCCTAAGGGTTACCACGAATAGCAGATAAGAAGGAGGTGTCAACTACTCTGCTCACATTGTTTATTATTAAAATAGGATGATGGGTAAAGTACTTCTCTAGTACCTAGTAAGCCCACAGTGAAAGATGGATCTTTTGTCTGATTAACTTGAAAGCCTAGACTCCTAGAAAGAAGCAGAAATCATCAAAGCCATTCTCTCAGTCATTGCAAGAATTCAGCTGGGTTTCTTGTGCCTCAATGTAAATCAAAGCTGCCAAAGGCAGCCCGAAAGCAACAGCTTTGTAAGGAGTTATATGCTTGAATTCCTTCCAGCAAGCTAACAAGTATTTTTTGTACCCCCAAGGGCACATCTGGATCTGTTCAATCACAGACAATACAATTCTTCCCTCAGGTGCAAACAAACAAATATGTGGGCTGCCTATGCTAGAAGAAGGCAATAAAGAGAACTTCACATCTGACCAGGACAATTCAGCAGTAATAACAAAGCAAGAGCCACCCCTCGAAGAAGCCAGTTATAGGTGACAGAGGAACAGCAAGTATTGGCCTAAGGTACATGCACAGCACTAACCTTTGTCCAGGTACCTCCTCCTGCCTTAGGTAAAGAAGCAGGGTCCTCTCATGACAAGTCACTTTGCTTCCTCCAGGCCCATGCCCCATCTTTAGGCTGTGTAGCTGCACTGTGCACCCAGAAACCGGTCAGGCCCACCTGACTACTGGTCTGGTCTTGGGATATATATATATCTATATCTCAAATGGCATATATAACTGACTTTGCTCTTCTCAGAGGGGTGGGAGGCAGCCAACAGCTTCAACCCTGAGAAATCATGAAATAGATTTTTTTCTGCATCCTTAGCAGAGTGGAGGGTGCTTGACAGGGAGGACAGGAGCAAGTTGCACAATTCTTTTTTTTATGTAATAAAGGCCCTAAAGCTCAAGAGAAGAGATGCTGACAATTTGGATATGCTAATGAGAAGCTGTTAAGTACTTCCTTTAAGACAAAAGGTGAAAGCACAATAAGATATTTAAGAGAGAGAGAGAGAGAGAGAGAGAGAGAGAGAGGGAATATTTATATACCTTTCATTACAGGATATTGTTATAGCTGTTCTATTTCATTACTAGATGTTGTTATTAATCTGCTTTTGTGCCTACTTCCTAACTTAGCCTTTGTCAATTAGACTATGTATGTACGAGAAAAATCACAGTATTCCCAGGCTTCAGTACTCCCATCACAGCTTTACCTATCTACTGGGTCTTGAAAATGTCTTTGCAGATAAGTGGTGACTGCTCTGTTCTACTTTGGTTGAATTTTGTTCATGTCTATATAGAAAAGACAGTGTGGACATATACATAATTCAAAACCTGCCTGATCACAAAGGAATGAGAACAAGGAAAGCTGTGTTAGAAGTCCTGAGGCTTGGATCATAGAAGCTCTGGTGCTCATAGTTTGTGTGACATGAGTGAACCTGTCTTCTCTCTTGTGAGCATCATGGACACCCAGGGGCCATCCACATATGGAACCAACACGACACCGTGGTGCAAAGAAGGGGATTGATAATTAGACACTCACCTGGCTGCTGCCTCCAGCTGTTCTTTCCTAGTAGGAGAAGAGGGAGAGAAAAATAAACAAAGCATAAATGACATGGAATGGCTCCTTCCCGAGTCTGCTCCAATGCTTCTCTTAGAAAGTGATGGAGGAGAGAAGACCTCTAGGATGAGGTGGTGAATGTGGAGAGGAACCAAGGAGAGGGGCAGGCTTCCCCAGGCAGACTCAGCCCCCACCCACTTCTGCCTTATGGCCCTGCATTCTCTCATCCATTCACACCAAAAGTGGTTTGCTGAGCACCTTCTCTGCCCCAGGCCTCCTGCCTGGCTCCGAGGGTTTGTTGATTGTTGGGTGCAGACCAGGAAGCGAAAGCCTAAGAATAGGGCTGCAATCTGCTCTAGCTGGGTCGTATAAAGCAAGCTAATCAATCTCAGTGATAGCCTGACTCTTTTCAGATGAGGTTATGAGAAATGAAGTTAGTCCTTCTGCTTACCTCTTAGAACAATCTAAATACTAACTAAGGTAGCATGCAGGAAACCAGATCCAATATTATTTGGTCACCAGGATGACAACTGTATACAGCCCACTTCTGGTCACAGAAAGAACAAGTTCCAGGCACACAGTGGACTGTGTTTGGCTAAGTCACTTCTACCTCCTGGGCTTGAGTCTCCTTATCGCTGCTTCAGTTTTAATACCTAACATTCTCATAGCTGGCATAGACATAAAGCTATTTAAATTAAAATTAAACAAAATTAAACATTAATTGCCTCAGTTGCAACAGTAATAGTCAAATGCTCAGTAGCCACATGTGCCGTGTCCATGGATTTATGTTAGGCAATACAGCTATGGAATGTGTTAGGCTAAATGCAACTTCACTGTTACTTGTAGGGAACCAAGTAATGTACCTGTTCTTCTGTTGATGGAAAGCAACAGCTATCTAGTTTTAAAAATCTGCCTTCATCCTTGTTTTCACATAAGAATGTATGAACGGTCTCTACCCCAGAACCTCCCTGGCCTCAGATTTCTGCCACCCACTGTATAAATCCGTACATCCTTCCATAGACTACAGATCAGAAGCCTGGGATTTGGTCCAGTTATGCCTGCCATGACCTGTGTCTTCTGCAAGTTCTTGAACTTCTGGTGGGGGGTGTGGGGAGGAGCTCAGTTTCTCATATAAAATGGAGCTTAGACTCAAAACTCTGAACATCTTTGTAATTCAAACAAAGCGAGTTTATCATTTATGTCATAATTTGCAACTAACACTAAAAAAATGAAAAGTGGAAAGCCATCATTCATCTCTGCTGGCCTCAAGCATACATCTGCAAATTAGCAAAGGACTACACCAAGAAGGGAGTTCCGTATGGGCCCATTGCTTCAGATGGCTACGCAATTTCATCCTTCAAAACCTTTGCCAGAAATGTAAACTGGCCTACTGTGAAAACAGCCTGGCCATTCCTCAATAAGATAAACACAGAGATACCAATTCTCCTCAGAAGTATATACTCACAATAACTGAAAATGTGTCCACACAATGAAACGTGCCTGAATCTTTAAGCAGTGCTTTTTGTTTTTTGGTACCAGGGATCGAACTTGGAACCTTGCACTTGCGAGGCAGGCAGTGGAACCACTGAGCTAATTCCCCAGTCCAAAGCAGTGTTGCTCATCAGAGCTCAAAGGTGGGAATGTCTATCAGGTGATGAATGTATGAACATAATAAAGTATATCTACTGGAATATAATTCAACCATAAAAAGGAATACAATTCTAATACATTCTACAATGTGGATGAAACTTGAAATTTTATTCTAAGAGAAAGAAAGCATACATAAAAGACAGCACACGATATGATTTTGTTAGTATGTGACATATTCAGAATAGGCAGAACCACAACAGGAAGTGGATTAGTGGTCGCAGGGGCTGGGAGAAAGAAGGCCCTGGGAGTAACTGCTAATGAGTACAGCGCTTCTTTCCAGAGCAATGACGCTATGGTGGAATTAGTAATCGATGTCCTGAATATTTTCAGAGCCAATGAATTATCCACTAGAACAGGGTACATTATATGGCATGTGCAATCCTCTTAAGGTTGAGAAATGTATCCCAATAAAATTATTGTTTAAAAAGCAAAAGTCCTTTGGGAGGCAGGTGAGGACACCCCGGTGTACTGTCAGCTGGTTCTTTGCCATTAACATATGGTGTGGGCTGGAATTCAGGGACATTCTTTTCTCAAGGGACTGCTTTGTTTCAGAATGGTTGCTAAGTGCACTTCTCTATATTTTTGTCCTTGAAAAAAGAAGGAAAGAAAGAAATGTTTTCTCTTAGTTTAAAAGCCATTCCCATATCACAGCAGCTGTCTGAGGCACAATGTAGCCCTCTGAGTCCCTGACAGCTAGGACAATGCCTTATTTATAATAAATCAACCCAAAAGAATAGGCCCATTGCCAAGGCCTTGGGATGCTTAGCAAATGAAAATCGCCTTGATTCTGCATCCAGCCTGATTGCATTGCACACGCTCTTGTTTTTGAGTTCAAGGTCATTCTGTCTTCTTAAGGAGAAGCCACCTGCCCATGCTGCCCACGCCTTGCTTTGTGCTAGCCCAAGCTCCAAGCCCGCATCAACTTCCAGCCTGCAGTGTTTCTGCCCTTGGGTTTTTTTTTTTTATGTTCAAGTTTCATTATTTATATTACATTAAGCATATTACATATTTTATATGTGGTGAAGACAACTCCTATGCACTCAAAAAAATGAGAGCAAAAGGACGGTAGACTACAGACAATGATAATAATAATAATAGAATGTTGGGACCTAAGGAATGATATGCTTTCTATACAATATTCTGAATAATTAAGTCTAATAACAAGTTGGAAGTCTCAGGGAGTAACCTTGGGCTTACCTAATTATTGAACAGTTGATTCATCTTTACCTCTTCTATAAGTCATTCATCTCTTTTACTTATTCTTCAGATCCTCTCTCTCTGTTTTCTCTCCTTGGCCTACCACTCATTTCCTCTCACCCTGCGCTCAGCTCTCTTTTGCTAACTCATCTCCTTGCCTTGAATCTTGAGCTTGTCTGATTAATCTCCACTTTCCTTCTTCCCACCTTCCCTGAACATAGATCTGATTGTATCATTCTCTGGCTGTTCTGGCTTCTTGTCACCTTCAGAATCAGTTAAATTCCTTGGTAAGTGGCCCATGACCCTCCATGGTCCAGCCCAGTGCTTATAATTCAAGGGGCTCAAAAATGTTGAGAAGGTGGCTGTGCCTCCCACAGCCCATGAGAAGTAAATGTGCGGTGGGAATTCAGGTGGGAGAGATCAACAGGACTGGTCTTATGGGGTCCTGACGTTCATCATGAAGTTTTAGATTTTAGTCTGTGTCATACTCATCCACTGGAAGGTTTTATTCAGGGAAATAGGTCAACAGAACCCAAATTGCTTGGATTTGCTCAAATCTTTACCACTATCTGGTGATGAGCATACAAGGGTAAACTGAGGCAGCTTCAAAGTCTGGTCACCAAAGAGCAACTTATTCACTCTAGGTCACGTGCTGGCCCATTAAAATGACACACTTGATAGAAATGCATAGGAGCAGGCCCCAGCCCAGAAGCAAACCAACTGTCCCTCTATGCTTCCTTCCAAGGGTTTTAGGAGTCAAGCATTCTACCCACACACTTAACAACCAAGCTCAGTATCTAAAATCCACAAAGGAATGGTCTGCTTTAGAAGCTCATGGGAAGAGACAGGGCTTTGGACTGACATGGTCAAAATGTCCAAAGTTTCAGAGCCTCGGTTCACTTATCTGTGCGTAGAACCTTATAACATCGATCTCCAGCCTGTCTCCAAGTGGGCACTGGGCCATTGTGTCAGTCTCCTCAGGATGGGGATGTGGGGAGTTCATATTCAAGATGGTTTTATTACCAGCCCTCCTGATAGATGCTGGATCTGCATTTTCAAAATATTCCCTCCATTTTAATGGGCCTTACGGTTTAAGAACCTCTGACTTATCTCATGGGATACCTGTAGAATCAAATAAAATAAGAACTTGGACACTTGGAACATGGATGTGCAACACACATTAATTTCCATCTCTCTTTTCCTATATGCTAAACATAGGAAGAGGTAATTTTTTTCAAGGTCTTCAATTCCATCTTTCATTGCTGAGAACACAAAATAGCATCCCCAGGTCTCCAGATGATTTTTCCTGCCTTTCTCTTCCACCTTCCCTTTTCTGAAGCCCAGGGTGGTCTCTGAGTTCAGGCTATAGCCATGTTGGGGGAACACCCAAATTTCTAGGATATCTGATTATGCTATTCCTGTACCTTCAGCCTCTAGTCCTACTCATACATCAAGTGGACCTTTTGTTAACAACTACTTCACTCAGTCAAACAGGTAACATCTGATTGCATACTGAACTCACTTGGTGTGGGGGCTCATGAAATACTGATATTTGGGCTTTAGTCCCTGGGACTTTGACTTAATTAGCTTGGAGTGTGGCCTAGGGAGCAAGCTTATTTTAAACTCTTAGGTGGTACCACACGATGGAAAGTATTCTCCTATTTCCCTGAATGACATCCTGCAGGAAACCTTGAGGCCATGACTCCAGTACAAAGTACACAGACCACAGGAGGGAAGGTAGTCACAGCCTGAGCATTCAGAGAAGTGGGCACTTACCTGAAAAATGGAAAAGAGACAACTGATTCATAGAATCTCCAAGTTGCCACAAGGTCAATCCTGTTGGGGTTGGTAGCGTAATACCTCCAGGCAGCCTGAGAAGAAAAGAGGGGCAGAGAAAACGTGGTATAACCTGATAAATGCTTATGCCCTTGATTCCTATGGATTTGAGAGTGCCCTGAACTACCACTCAGAGACAATGAGGTTCCTGCTTTGTTGTGTCTCCTTTGGGCAAAGAAACTTCCTGACCATTTTGGAATTGGTGTTGTCCTGGGCAGAGGTTAAGAGAGATGAGCTGGAGTGGAGAGAGAGAAAAGGCTATAAAATCCTTGAAAAAATATTTCTAGAATATTCTCTTTCTAGAATATTCCCAGAGTCTTCTCAGTTAGGTAAGAAAGCAGACAAGGTCTTTTGTGCCACTTCTGGGTACAAAGAGTACCTGGGGAAGAATGCTTGGATCCTAATGTGCTAGAAGCTCTGGGATGTTCTGATGTTTTGGGGTCTGGAAAGGACAATGGGACTGACTCAGAGATTAAGACTGGCCTAGAAAGTTAATATATAGGATGCCATCATCTACCAGGCTATGTCAGACCCACAGAGACACCCACCACAATGGATACAAGCTCACAAGTAGACGGCATTCAAATAACTACAGATGGCACACAATTTTCCTATTCACTATGCTCTCACGCTCCCAACAATCCATAAAGTCATGAGGCAAGTATTCCTTGTGAAGTGTAAGGAGGAACTCTTTGGCCCTGTCCCTAGACCACAGAAGGGGAGACAGGGTGACTGACAGTGGGCAGTTGCTCGGAGTCTACTGGTCCTCCATCATTATCTGGGTAGGACAAATGGGCAGCATGGCTCATTATTTTTCACTAAGAAATATCTTCATCTTTCAGATTATCTGTCTTTGGCAGACCTGAAGAAACAGCATTTCTCTCTGTAGCTTAGTGGCTAAGCAACAGCACTGTGGGCTGACTCTCTCTACAGGTCTCTAGGTCAGCTTGGGGTAAGAAGCAGAATAAGAAGGAAGCCTGTACGGCCACAGGCCTAAGCAAAATTCTCTACTCCAACATTAGTAGGAAACGCTGATGAGCTCATCCCTGAGTCTTACATTTATTTATTTGTTGGCCTAGAACATGGATGGGACAATAATAAGACACACACAGGTCATTTGGATAACCATGGCTATTGCTCATAGGAACCACAAGTATGCATATGCAAGCAGGGCCACTCCTGCCTGGGTGTGCTCATGCATGTGCATACCGCACACACACACACACACACACACACACACACACACACACACACAGCATTGTAGGTCCCATTCCAGTGTATTTGCAGACAGCCAGACCTGGATGAGCTCAGCAGCTGGCTTCCTCCTTTTCTCAAAGTGCTTCTGACGGTGCTGCTCCTGCACCTTGAGCGCCAGTCCTGATCCCAGGATGCCCTGGGGAGAAAAGCCAGACCATAGTCAGCCCCACCATACTCCCCGCAGCACCTCAGCCCCACTTTCAAGACAGCAGCAGGTGATGAAGGCCTCAACGGCTCCATAATGACAACATTACATGAAAGGGGGAAGAGGGAAAGATCCTTCCTTCTTGAGATGGTAGGGAGCTTGGAAAAGTGGAATAGCCTGAAGTCAGGAAGGCCTGGTATCTAATCCTGACATCCCACCTTGAGATCCTGGACAGGTCTTTCATCATGCTGAATCTCAGTTTCTTTCACAGGGCCATAAGATAATAGTACATCATGTAAGTAGTGAGATAATATATAGTTATTGTCTAGTATGTGGTATAGCACAAAATAGATGTTCAGTAAATGTTAATCGAATTTTAAAAATATTTTAACAGCTTGAACTGTCCCTTGGGACATGTACTATAGCCAAACTTTATAAGAATTGAGATCTGTTTTATTTTCCAGGTCAGACTTGCATGTGGATTAATTGGATAGAAGAACATACTTTTTGAGATGCAAGAGACCTAGACATAGTGCAATGTTCCCACATCTCTCATCTGTCTCACCCAAGAGAAAACTGAGATTCCATCACACATTTGAAGTCAAATAGCTTAGGAAAAGAGAGAAGGCAATGCTGCTGATGGAGGAAAACTGTCAACAGAAGAACAGTAGATAAAGGGGACAGCAGAGAGATTGCCTTTAAGAAGGTTCTTTTCATGCTCTGTAGTTAAGAGCCAGACTCTAGAAATGGCCAGAGTTGAAATTCCTCACTTTACAACCCAGAAAAATTTACTAACTCAATTAAGTCTCAGGTTTTTCATCTGGCAGTTGAAGAATGGAGATAAATCAAACAGCAAACTCATAGTGCTGTTGTGAAGATCAAATGAGATGACATAGGCAAAGGATTTGGTGTGATTTGTGCACATGGTGAGTTCCATAAGGGCCAGCCATTATTATTTGCTGTTAGTACCCTGAGCATGGCCTTGGGGAAGTTATTCTATCATATGCCAAGACTTCCTCTTGAGGGAAATGTGCTTTTTACATATGGCACACATGGAAAGGACAAAAGAAGGGAGTTTCCATGTATGAAGAACCTGCCCTGTGCTGGGTGCTGGGAATACAGGGATGGAAGACAGAATCCCACTCCCTAAGGATCTGGATGGTCCGGGTGAGGCAGGCACAGATAGAGTTTAGAATTTAGAAAGTTGAGGCTGGAAAGTTGAGAAGGGTCAGGCAGTGAGGGGTCCTGTCTGGCACAAGTCAAAGGTACTTACTGCTGGAAGAGCAAAAAAAGAGACACCAATTAAGGAGAAGGTGGCAGCGATCAGACGGCCTTCCCACGTCTTGGGTGTTTTGTCTCCATAGCCGATGGTGGCCAGTGTGATCTGAGAACAGAAGAGTTCAGACATGGGATTCCGGGAAGAGGAACTCGACCAGTTGAGTTCCACCTCTGAGCCTCTGTGCCTACTTAGGTGCTGGTCCCGTTTATAATGAGATCCCCAGGGGAGAAAAGTACCAAGTGCTAAGTAACTTATCTGGGAGGACTGGGAAAACAGCCTGCTTCTAAGTTAAGGATTTCTTACCTATGGTCAGTAAACAACTCCCACAATTGCGATCATGTTTATGTGAGAATATATTCATTTGTACATGTACGGTTTGCCCTCTACTTATAGGTTCTGTGAATTTAACCAACTGTGCGTGTAAAGTATTTGGGAAAAAACGCAACAAACTAGCAATATAATAAAAAATTAAACAAATAAAATACACATACCAATAATTTTCACGTTTACATTGTATTAGGTATCATAACTAATACAGAGATGATTTAAATACTCAGGAGGATGTGTGCAGGTCCTGTGCAGATGCCTTACAATTTACTTCAGGTGTAGTGACTACTGGTGGCCTTTGCTGTCTGTGGGGGATGGGGATCTTGGAACCGATTTCCTGTGGATACTAAGAGATGACTGCATTTGTAAAGGTGTGATTTTTATGTGTGGCTATTTCTATGAATTGTGCTTCTGTGTGTGTTTGTATAGACTGTGCATGTACGTGTGCAAATCTATGCAAGTGTCTGTTCTGGTGCATGTAGTATATTCCACTGTGCGTTTACATGTTTATGCCAACAGTACCCCTGTTCAGGAGCACATGCACCTGTCTGTGGAGAACAGGACAGACAGACTACAGGTAACTGTGGTCTCTGGAACTGAAAAAATCTGCCTTAAAATATTAGGGCAAATGCTCTAATGTCTGAGAAACCCTAAATTAGTAACTTAATTTTTCATGCCTCAATTTCCCCATTTTTTAAAAGGAGTCAGAGCTTAAAGTATGTTAATAAATGTGATAAGCTCAGAGTTATTCTCTGGACAAAGTGAGACTTAATATATGACAGCTTTAATACCTTGTCGGTGGAGGGCTATGACACAGGTCTGTCTCATCAGATCTGTATGCACATGTAGGTATCTGCCACCGTGTTTGCACATGTAGGGCCTGCCTGATAACAGCCTATGGCTAATAACACAAGGTCCTTCAAAGACCACACAACCAGACTGTAGAGAGCTCTGTCTTCCTACAGCACTGTGAGAAAGTCCATTGTGGGTACACGACCTGTGGTGGGAGTGTCCTGTCCTTAGGTAGAGGAGGTCTCCCACCTCTGATCACAGAGTACAGTTGCCTGCCTGACGGTGCCCATACCATGCCCCCCTACCTCTCTCTGTTTCTAACAGTCAGTCCCTCCCTGCATGGCTGCTTTCCAGATGACTCACCAGGCCCCACCAAAGGGCATCTGCATAAGTCTCAAACTCCTCTTTCATCTCCTCTCCTTGTGCATCCACTTCCGGCACATCTTTCTCAACCAGGTAGACAAGAAATGAAGAAAGGATGAGGGTCAGGAAACCGATGTACCAGGCAGTGATGAGTTCCTGGAAGGGTCATGGAGGGTGAGGGAAATATTCACCGGGAAGTCACTGGGTGCATACTGGAGCCAAAGACCCCAGAGCAGGGGTCCAGGTTTACTGGTAGATGACAGACTTTTCTACGTTCTCACCTTCTGTCACTATAAAATGGGATCGAGATCATGGGTGTTACTCCAAACACCAAGGAAGGGGCAAATGGATGGCTTTGGAAGAAGAGGTTGACGTTTTGTCAGGGAGATCTTGGTATCCAGTTCAAGAGGCTTCATGGGAAGGTGAGAGGTCAGGAGGGACTGGCAACTGCATCTGAGGTAAAACTCAAGGCTCAGGAGTCTTGGTTCTCTGCAGTCCCCTACCCACAGCAACGATAAAGCTCAGTCATGCAGAGAGAGCTAGTAGGCAGGACCCAGCCCCACTGCCAATTTACTGACCCTGGACAAATTATCCCGTCCTCCACAGCCCCGTATCCTCATTTTAAAATGAAGAGACTGGACCACAAGGGACCTGAAAATGTCACAGGTACCACAGTTTTTATATTAAATGATTCTGTACTAATACAGAGCATATGTGACACATAAAACATGATTTCATGGATATTATCCCATGATAAACTGGGAAAATGGGTAGGCACACAAGAGTCAGTTGATTTAAAGGAAAAATGGTAACAGGGAAGCAAAGATTAGCAAAGCATGGAAGTTTCCAAAAGCCTGATGGAGACAGTCCCTACCGCCCTTTCTAGCTGCTACTTTTTCTATCTCTTGTTTCCTCCAATGTCATTAGCGTGGTGGGCTAGGGGGAAAGAGTCACAAAGAAAGACAGTCAAGATTAGAGGTGAATGCAATTTGGAGGTGAAGCCCACTCGTCCCACTGAATCGCCTCAGAGTTGCCTTGGTCCTGCTGGGTCCTCCCCATGGCTGCCCTCTGGATCCAGGAATCACACAGACAGCACTGACTTCCGCCCTCCCCTGCAGTAGGGGCCAACTGAAGGCCTCTGACCCTCCTTGGACTCATGCCACCTTTACTGTGTCCCGTCTGGGATGTTTGCTCCCCAGTTAGAGAAAGGTTAGCTGTAATGTATGCATTCACTGTTTTTTCAGTCTCCATCTCTAACACTTCCTTATTGTGCTTGGTTGTTCATGGGCCTTGGCCTTCTCCCCAGCACCACTGCACAGGGCACTCACTGGTGTGAGTTTATGCTACATCACAGAGCATGGTTTAGTCATCCTGAGAACCCAGCCAGCCACTCTTCTGAGAGAGGGTCTGCCCTGCAGGGGTCGAGAAGGGGAAGGTGAATGGATGTCCATCCTTTCACTGTGGCTGTCTGAGTGTGAGCCTCTTGTTTTGCAGAATGTGGGTGTATGGGTATGTTTGCCACGCTCTCCTGCCTCCAGGGCAAGTCAGAACTTTCATCTGGTGCTATACTAAGCAAGCATCCATCTGCTCACATGTGAACAGATAAGCCAGATGCACTGGATTATCAGGACAGGCATAATGGGGCCCCATTCTGTGCTTTGCAGTCATTTAAAATGTTACTCAAGGTAATCTTGACTCTCCAGAATTTTTGTTAGTAGCTCTGTGGCAGAACTGGAATCCTTCATATGCCAAGGCAGGCTGGGGCTAAGGCACTGGGGTCCAGCTGATGAGGTGAAGTGTCAGTAGCACATTCCTCCTTCCTGTACCGTAAGTGCATTCTGCTGGATGTGCCTGCCTTGGTGACTCACTCAGGTTCCTTCTGAAGACAGATGAGGCCAGTCTGGCACACATCAGGATGTGCAGGAGCAAGATATTGATGTCTGTGTGGCAGGTAGCAGAGACTGAAGGACTTTCTTGTTCTGGGAGCACAGCCTTTCCTGTCCCATCAACTTGGACTTCCCAACGTTCATCTCCGAGCATTGTGCAGAGTCAAGCATAGAACCCAGCCTGCTGCACAATCCATGGAAGGAGAAATGAATGAGCACATGCCTGTCTTCCAGGCCTTTGGGGACACCCCCTGGGAGCTTCCTCTCAGCTCTGGCAGCCAGGGACTTCAGAGTACTAGTACTATACACTTTGGAGGTCAGCAAGAGCTCCATGAATCTAGGTCTTGGAGCAGAGAGCTTTGCCTTCCCCTCCCTGAGGAAGAGGTCCTGCCTTTGTTTTGGGACTTGGCTATACTATGAGCCTGTCTTTGCTCAGGAATTTCACCACCAACCTCCCAGGTCTCCTAGTAATTGTGCGGTACATAGCAGATTGTGGGATCTGTTTCTGTCTGCAGGAGAAAGGACAAGGACCTGAAGCAGCCATTTTTAGCTCAATTTCCATCAGAGCTGCTAATCAGCTCCACTCTGCAGACACAGGGCTAAGGCTGAAGCTGGGAAGGAGCCATGAGCCTGTGTTCTTGTAGGAGGCGAAGTGGAAGGTCATGGGAAGAAAGCATTCTGGGAAGAAGGCTCCGGCGGACTCTGAGGCCAGGGTAGCATGACAAGAGAACGAAACATTTGTGGCAAGAAACTGCCTTGTAAGGTGAAAGATTTCTAGATATTTTAGGTTTTAATTAATTTAATTTACACAGCTGTGCACTGCAGGATAATGTTTTGCCGAAGAAGGGACCAGATACATGATATTGGTTTTGCAAGATTCTACTACCTACTGACACCACAGCCTTCTCAGAGTACAAGCTATGATGTTTGCACAGGGACAAAATCACCTAGTGGCACATTTCTCAGAACATATGCCCACAATAACCAATCCATGAAAGTATATTTATTAGTAAGGTCTGTGAAGAAAAGTACATTTGAAATAATAAATTCTCCCATTGGTGAGCTTCTAGAGCTTGCCAGGACTCTAAACCCACCTTTGCTCACATCAACAGCTGGAAGGATTCATATTTAACTGCTGGGAAAGCTCATTAAATTAGGATGGCAACTTTAAAGTCTTAGATTGGAAAGTGGCAGAGCTGAATTCTAAACAGAGTGCCTATCGGATCCCTAAATTGTATGTATTCTACTGTAGGATGCTACCTCCCAGGAAACATTCCCCAGCACATGCAGGTGCATCTGAGATACAAGGAGCAGGAATGTGTGGGTATGTTCTGGGGCTCTCCAGGTGGATGGAGATGGCCTGGTCATGTTAAACTTAGACGAGAAGCCCTGAATCACCTAAGGGGCTCACTTTCTCAGGTACAGACCCCCCAAAGCAGAGCCAGAGACAAGGATTTAGGTACATGTGGCTTATTTGTGATTACTGATAGGGTGGTCAGAGGGTTCTAAAAAAGGGGTGCCCACTATAACTGGCCCAAGAAGTGAGGGAGACAGCCTTGACTTAAACACCTGTAAAACACCTGTCCTGGGCTCCCTAACTGTCCTTTCTCCTGCACTGGCCTCATAGGGGCCTTTCCTGCCTGAGCAGAGACACAGAGCCTTTCTGCCATTCTTCAAGGCAAAGCAGCTAGGTCAAAAGCAAAGTGGCCCAAAGGCTTGGGTTAGCAGCAGAAAGAAAACACAGGGAGTTCAATAAATCCAGACAAACCGGATTCTCGTCATCTGGGATCCATTCCTACTCAACCTAGAAGGAGACAAGGTTGAGTCCACTCCTTCTTTCTGGGGGAGCTGAATGAACACCAGCATGGCCATGAACAAACCAATGGACGTGGGCTCAGAAACTGCACTACCTGGGTTGTGTTCTACGGCATGACTTTGGGGGAAGTTCCTTTTTCCTTCTGCATCTGGTTTCTTATCTGTGTAAAAATGGTAATAACAGTGCTCAAGTCCTGCATGAGCTAGTGTACATTAAACACTAAGATCCCGCTGTGTTTTGGGCTTTACAAAACAATAGCAACTGACCGATTTTGAAGAGTGGGGATATTCTGAAAGTTCTTCATGGATCAATTCATTTCATCACACCAGCTCTTGGATTGTCATTGCCATCTGCTAAATATAGGACTCATGATTCAAAGATCCAAAGTGGTTCCAAAAATGATCCCCAGAGTCACACAGGTAGGTTTAGATTCAGATCAGCCTGGGTGGAGCCCAAACCTTTCATCCTATCTCAGGCTGCCTTAAATGAGCTCACTTCATCCTCTCACATCTGGTGGTGGAGGCGTCATCACCCCTACTTGGAAATGAAGAGACCGAGAGACAAACAGGTGAGTGACTTGCACAAAGTGATTTGCATATGGTAGAGCTGGGACCTAAGCCCATGCATGGCTGTTTGTCTGCATCACACCCACACCTGGTCCCTCTTCCTCGTCCTGTTCTTCTTCCTCATTGTCATTGTTATCAGTGGTGGCAGAATGACCGTCCTTGTGGACACTGTAAGCCAGGGTAGGTCATAAAAAGGCATGGATATGTGAGAGGACCACTCAGCCTTGTGGCTTCTCAGTGCCACTTACTTTGCTATGAGCGCAGATGGCTGAGCCCAGGAGCTTCCAGGTGCCGCCTCTCCGGTCCATCCGCAGCATGCGCAGAATCTGTAGGAAGCGCAGGCTTCGCAGGGAGGTGGCCAGGACATTGCCCTGGTTTCCCACAGCTACTACGGGCACAGAAGCAATCAGCACGAAGATGTCTGGGAAAAGAGAAAGAAAGTGGCAGAGAAAAGGGAGAAGAATGTCAGGTGAAGGCAACGCCGCTGTCACCAGTGGCAGAGGAACATGTGTCAAGCTGGGAGCAATGTGAGAATGGCTTTGTTGAATCTTGCCATTAAGCGTGCAGGATAATGGGGTTATTCTCTGGGGGCTGATGAGGAATCAGGAGTGCTAAATGTGGCCCTCTTGAGGCCACACAGCTAGAAGTGGTTGAGTTTGGACTGGACACAGGTCTGTCGTTCTCCAACACAAGTTCTTGACCCTGGAGCAGTTCCCCAAATCTCCCCGTATAGCACTTGAGACTCACTGTGAAATGAACTAAGGAGAGAGGGACCAGGACTGTTGAGACTGTGAAGGGGAAGCTGGAGGCCTAATGCTGAGACAGTTTTAATGGGGTTTCTACAAAGAACATCACCCGAGTCTAGAACTTGGACGCTGGTAATCTACTGGGAGATGATGCTGGAAAGCATGAGTGGTGGGAAGAGAGACAGGGAAGAAGAGACAAAACAAGCAAACAAAACAGGAAATGCTTGTAATGGGTTCCTGTCAGGTCCTTTGAACGTCCGAACGCCTCCTGAGGTCATCCATCTGGAAGGTGGAAAGTTGGGACACCAGTCCTTTCACTCATTTTTAGCTCGTTGAGGATCACTCCATACATTTTTGAGATGCACCGGCCTACTGACCTCCAGAGAAGGGTAGGGGGGTGTTGTGGAAAGATCTGAGCCCACCCTGATGTGGGGCACTCCTAGCAGGAAGTGACAGGGAGATGCACACTATGGCCAGGGCTGAAGTCTGAGATGGGCAAGGGGGTGGAACACTTCAGAAAGCGCCAGCTGGCTCCTGCAGTCAGTCTACTCTGGAAGGAAGGAGACCTGATTTCTCTCTACTCCCTTCAGTAGTGTACAGCACCCAACTCTATGATGTCCCCACTGTCCTGCAGAGGTGTAACCTGTAAAAAGGCCCCCATGGTCAAGGAAATTTGGAAATAGCTCAATTAACAGGAGTTATTTTGCTCCTGCTGGATTCTCAAAATCTTTAATACGCTAACATGCACCATGGATGTCAATTACACAAATGAAGTACAGACTTCCCCAAAATGTTTTTTTTTTCAAAAATCTTATTGAACTTTGTTTTAATGTGTCAAAGTTCTATGGCACTTTTGGCCAGGTTGTCTCCACTTAAAGTGCTGATTTTAAAAAGTAATGACTTAAAATTGCCACACACAAATGGTCCACAAAACCCTTCCATCTGAAAGTTTTAGGAAGCATTGTTTTCATCAGCCACTCTTTTGCTGCTGAGCCCAAATGGCCCATTGAGACCAGCAGCTCTGTGAGGTCCTTCCCCGAAGGAGGAGCACAGGGTGGTGGGTGTTAGGAATGACACTCACGGGGCTCCCTGAGCTTGGTGGCACACTGACCTCACCAGCTCCAGCAGCCTCCTTGCCCCCTGCTTTGAGGACAGAAGGGGAGTTATCTGTCTCATGTCACAAACAGCAAAAGGACCCAGAGGAATGCAGTCAGAGAAGCTCTCTGCACACACATATCAGTGAAAGGAGCTCAGCCAGATTTCAGGAATTTTGGGCCATCTCCTCACTCCTTGCTCCAGAATGGTAGTAATCTTTTTGATCAACTCAGTAAACTTCCAGCAGTATGAGCTCTTTGACATTTCATTACAGGGCAGAGCCAGCACTGACTTGGCTGGGGTGGCCCAGAATAATCATCTGGAGGTGCAGTCAGCTGCTTCCACAGCTGGGTCATTTCTGCTGCCACACATAGTACTGCCGTAATAAACATCTTTGAGGGACACGTTCTTGACTTTAGAACCCTCCCTGGCTCCATGAAGTGCTTCGCTCAGAGCTCCCTAGTACAGCCCAGCAGACCTTGCTTCAGTTGCAACACTGACTGGAGCAAAAGTGATAGCTTTGCCAGGTTGGAGAGCACCAGTTACCCTGGGCCCCATGGAGACAGCACCTGTGCCACTAGTGCTACAGATACCTGGTAAAGGCTTGTCAGCCAGATGAGCAGGTGGGGAGCTCAATCCAGAGCTCCACGCCATGCGGTTCCACTGGCATTGCCATCTTTTCCAGTGACATCCATTCCTTAAACCAAGGCATGTGAGCACTTGGCTCCAGCATGGTATCATCATTCCAAGGAGAAACTGGCCCAAGAGCCACTGTGTCAGAGTCATTGCTAATTTTCTAAATGTAGGTGCTAACTCCCTTAATTATTTCCTTGCATCTCTTCTGTGCTCCAGCAGCTCTGTGGAATCAATATTTCTAGCACTAGCAATTATTTGTTTCATACCCAGCGTGGAAGCCAGAAGGGGATGCTCCGAGGCCTGGACTATCTGGGAGATGCTAGCTTCAAGTTCACCATGCATCAGGAAGCAGCAGCCATCACAAAAGCCTGGTCAGCCTGACATGCACTTGTTATCGTGCTTTTGACGAAGTCTGTGTCCTGGGGAGTCAATGATACTTAATGCTTGTGTCAGTTTCCACAGGTGAGGCGGATGACACCCCTCACGAATGTTCAGCTTTCAGTTTACCCAAGACCCAGGCATACTTGAAGGAGCCCTTTCCGAGCTCAGCAGCCTCTTTCTCAGACCTGCCCATGGCTCTTTTATTGACTCCACCACATTTGCAGGTCACATGGCCAGTCATGGCGGCCCTGCCCTACTCAAGCCAATAATCTCAATGCTGTCTGAGTCCTTCCCCTTCCCATTATGACTTTGATTTGGGGCTGGTTTTCATAGCACCTGTGTTCTGATAGCAACTTTGTGCAAAAAAAGATGTTGATTACAGAAGTGTTTTTGCAAGAGCATCAGGGTTCTAAGGAACACACATAAAGAAATGTTTGTGGGAGCTCCTTTAGTCATTTGGCCCCTGAGAAATTTCTGGATGCATTGATGGTTTGCTGAGTTCATGGTGCTCTCTCACACCTCCGAGTGTTTGTTTGTTCTTGTCTCCCGGCTTGGAAAACATTAACTTCTCTCTAGGTGTATTAACAACAACAACAACGAAAAGACTCAACGTCTGGGTACAGATAAGCCTATTCCACTGAGCAGGTTTTTTAGTTTATCTGTGCAAAGCTATCCCCTTATAGTGCTTACAGAAAAAAGCAAAGCAAAACACAGCCCTCAAATGCACAGCACACGCTATGGACACAGTGCTCTGTGAGGACGGCAGAGCTGCTCCTGATCTAAAGTGGCAGGGTGGGAGGCTGCCTTGGAGGAGACGGCTGTGCTACTCAGGAACATGATCATCACCCTCCTGTCGAAGACAGAAAAAGTAGCATTGCTTTAGGGCCACACCATGGAAAAAGCTGAGATAAGTAGCGTGGAAATGCAGTCAAGGACAGCAGAAAAGGATGTGTGTGACAGCACAGTTCCAGAGGGCATTTAGTTAGTTCTTCCATATTTTTTCTTCTTTCTTTTACCCTCTTGCTTTTCTTCCCTCCCTCTCTCTTCTTCCTTCTGTGTCTACATCAGGTGTATTTGTATTAAAGCAGGCTCTTTTTTTCTCCTTTAGAGTGATCTGTCCGATGCTGGCCAGATGGAGTGTGTAGGTGTGTGTGTGCGTGTGTGTGTGTGTGTGTGTGTGTGTGTGTGTGTCAGAGTTGATGACGGATTGGATCCAGGTTCAAAGAGGTTCCTATCCAGAGTGGGACTCCCTGGCTTATGGCACTTGGACCCTTGATCCCGATAGAAGCATCTCCTAAATCATCCCATAGTACCAGGGCTCCAGCCTACCTACTTCTCCTTTCCTGGAGCCACCACATCTGGCTTTTCTGGTGTAACTTGCTGCATTTTCAATCCTACTCATCTCAACTGTTTCCATAAGGTTTCTGTTGTAGCAATGTCATCTTTTAATAAGTTGGTGCTTGTGATGATTAATTCTGATTTGTCAACTTTAAAGGATTAACAAATGCTCGGTAGATTATGGGAGCACACTCCTTGGCACATCTGGGTGGGCAACGGAGTCACAGTTTTGAGCACCATATAATGGTCCCAAGCCTGTTCCTCTTTAGCATTAGTCTCCTGCTCTAACCAGCTGCCATGAATTAAGCATCTTTGCTCTGCTCTACCTGTGTACCATGACTTTTCCACCTTGGAGCCCGTCACCCAGGGGCTGAACCCACGAACCAAATTAAACCTCTCCTCCTTTCAGTTGAAGGTGTTGAAAAACTAACACAGTGCTGCTGCTCTCCATGGAGGCAGTTTAGGGGCTGGGCAGCCTCCACGGTGCCGTGTGAGTTCCCATAACAGCTGCTTCAACCTTCCTCAGAGAAATAACACACCAGAGAGGAGATGCACAGGACCACGGGACGAGGGGTCCAGGGCTTACCCAGCATGCACAGGGGCTTCCGGGCAAACTTCAGTCGTCCCCGCCAGCCTTTGTATCGACAGCAACATCCGGCAGCCCAGATCCTTAAAGCAAACTCGGCTCCGAAGACGAAAATAGCAAATGTTTCCTGTGTGGCAGAGCATGTGGACCGATTAACAGGGACCCAGTTCTTGGGATCAGAGAGCTTTCTGAAGATCTGAAGAGCCGTGCTGTTGTTCTGGAGAGGACCCGGGAGGAGGGACAGCTGGTCAGCTCCATCCGGCCATAGGAGGCCCTGTCTTTGCTGACACTCTCTAACTGCTAGGACTTGCAAAGCGATACCTTGTTCTTTTTTTTTTTTTTTTTTTTTTTTTTTCCA